CACATGACTCTGCCAACATGAAAGACTTCACAGGACGTGGGTTCTTTAGAGTTCATGGAACTTCTCAGGCATCACAGCAGGAGATAAGCTGCAAGAGAAAATCTACTTTCTCAGCTCTGATATTCATTTCTTGACCTATTACTTAACAAAGATGTTTGCTGAGTAGAATAACTCCAATTTTGATACTTGGTACCAACTCCATTCTTCAGTGATGCTTATGGTGATAGAAAATATAACCCCAAATAAATTCATTCTCTTTGATGTGGTTTGACTCCGATTTTGATACTTGGTACCAACTCCATTCTTCAGTGATGCTTATGGTGATAGAAAATATAACCCCAAATAAATTCATTCTCTTTGATGTGGTTATTACTATTAAGTCACTTCTGGGAATATTGATATTGGAATCTGTTAGCCAGTGGGTATCCATATGGTACTTCAAGTCTTTTGTTCTACTGACCAAGCATAGCAGCTCTGGAATTGTGTCATAGAAGTGCTCCCAAGTCCGAATCCTTTACTGTTTACTAGGAGACTCAATTATTTTCATTGAGCATTCATCCTGAACCATATTCCAAAGATTAAATAGCTGTTTGGACTTGACTTCTGTGCACCTGGCTGCCTAGCACTTAATTTGCCAATCTTCCTGGTCACTAGACCTTTATCCTATTACAGATATGTATTAACTGTGAATTGATCTTTCAGCTCACAACTGCCTGGCTACCTGCCTGGATTTCTCAGTATTGCTGAGCCCAGATTCTGTCATTGTGCTCTTTTACTTGAACCTTTGTTACTAGCTGTGATGTGACTTATACCATATTTTACCTGTAGGCTTGTCATCTAAGTGTCACTTCCTTAGTGAAAATTTGTCTTGTCCTGAAGGGCAGGTCACACCCAGACCTGGATCCATTCTGCTTTTTTTTTTTTTAACTTTTTCCCCCCAATGTTGTTTTTTACAGAACATAAGCCAGAGTGGCATAAACAAAAATAAAAGAATGTTTACAGTGATGTATGGTAGGGAAAAAATGAAAATTAGCTAAATTGCAAAATAAGACATGCACGTACTTTCATAAATTTAAAGAATAGTGGCAGAAATTTCATAGCATAGTGCAACTGAAAATCCAAGAAGAGAGGTAAACTGCATGAAGGAATTCTGCTGAAAGGTTACAGATTTCTGTGTCCCTTTAGTGTTTCACATCAAAATTACCATCTTCAGAAAATTGTCTGAACAAGTCAAGTGCTTAGTCTTGGAGAAGCAGAGCCCATGAAATGTTGTTGAGACAGAAGTAGAAGAAGAAAATGTTCCAAATAGATAGGAAACCATCATGTCAAGATGCAGGAATGGAACTTGAGAATCAGAAAAGGAACAAGTTGAATTGACAGTGAATCATCTGAATATGAATTCAATTGCCTCAAATCAAGATTATAGTTGAGCCCTAGTTCTCGGAAATAAGAATCATGTGTATGAACATTTCTGGCTCTTGATGTAGGTCATAATCTTTTTTACCAGGAATAATCCAGTATAAATCAATTAGACCAATATGCTATTAAAATGTGATGCAGATAATTTTAACAGCTTGTACTCTTCCTGAAACATTTATGAATTGCTGAATACCTTATTTACTCTTAAGGAAACCTGAAATGTAAGAGCTATCCTTAGGCAATGTCTTCAAAATTCTCTGGAAGCTTATAAATAAGAAACCTGTGGAGTATTTTTCCCACCTCCATTTTATCATTGGGCTATGATATAGTCAATATCAGCATTGCTATTGGGACTTGATATTGTAGAATGTGTACAGCAGTGTAAGTTTGACTTCGTAGCCTTACATGGATGACTACATCTGCATTTGAAAGGGAAAAAAATAAAAGGTTTCTCCTAAAGACAGTAACCTTATCATCTACAAAGATGACTGCAGAAATAAGAGATGAACTTACTTTTGTATTTTTACATTTAAATTTATAAATAAAGGTTTATTTCTACATGAGTATGTTTTATTTATTTATTTTTATTGTCAAGGTGATGTACAAAGGGGTTACAGTTATGTAAGTAAACACATTTCTTGTCAAACTTGTTACCTTTTCCCTCATTTTCCTCCTACTTCCCCCACACACACTCCTAATTCCCAAGTTGTACAGATCATTTCCAACATATTGTCTTCTGCATATCGCTGTTGCATTGGTCCCCCCTTGTCCTTTGTTTCACCATTCTGTTGTTCCCACTACCTTCTCTAATTCAGATAAATGTCTATACAATACCTGGGTACCAAAATCAAATACAGTGACAACAGGGGCTAGACCATAGGAGGAAGAACATACAAAAGAAACAAGAAATCACATAGTACATTATAAACAACAATAACAAAGAAAAACCTCTTGTGTCCATGTCTTGGAGTTCATTTAGCTAGATACTTTTTAGACAGAGTCTCACTTTGTTCCCATATCCATGCTTCTCATTGTAGGTAGAATGATGGGCTCTAGGACAGGCCTAGAACTTTTTTATTGTGAAGGTGATGTACACAGGGGCTACTGTTACATAAGTAAGGTAATGAGTACATTTTTCAAACTTGTTATTCCTTCCCTCATTTTTCTCCTACTTGCCCTGCCCAATTTTCCACCTTAAGTTGTACAGATCATGTCCAACATATTGTCTTGTTGCATTGGTTTTCCCCATTGCCTTTTGTCTCACCATTCTTTGTTCCCCTTCCCTAATCCTGATAAACATATAGCATTTGTTTCTGAGAGGATACATGTCTCAGCAATCATCATATTTTGTTGTAATTCAGGGATTAATTAAATCGATGTAATCCCAGTTTGTTACAGTAGGGCTAAAATGAAAACCAGAGGTTTGCATGTGCTAAACCAGCTCTTAACCTCAAGCTGAATCCCAATATTTATTACAATTCTAGTGTTTCAACATTTTAATAAAACAGAAAGCTGTGCAAAAATGAAAACATACCATTTCTGTCCTACAGCAATTTAAAATGTAGCAGGAGATGTGGCAATCTATTAACTCTGATTACAGACAAAAAGTGCTAGTAAAGTATTTACTGAAAAATAATTTTATAGGAAGATGTATAGATTTCAAGCAGAAAAATATATACTATACAGAATTTTAACACAATAAACAACTCAGTTAAAATTGGTCAAAGGATCTGAGAAGACATTTCTTTAAATAATATTCAAGTAGCCAATAAGTATAATGAAAGATGTTCAACATTATCAGGTAATCAGCAAGTAAGTAATAAGGTGCAAAACCAAATCACTGAAAATCCATGGGTGATTAAATAAAAAAGATTTAAAAAATAAAATGGAATCGATGTGGGAAATTATACCCTTTACCTATTAGTGATGGGAATGTAAAATGAAACAGCCTTTGTGAAAGTCCATTTAGCAGTTTCTCAAACAGTCTGAACATGGGATTACTATATGATTGAGAAATTCTATAGCCATAAACACAAACATACAACCATATAACACAAAACTTGTACATTTGAACATTCAAAATATTAATCCAAACCTAGAAATAACCTAAGTGAATATTTACTGATTTTAAAAAGTAATTTAACAATACAATGGAGTATTCAATAGTTTGTACAACAGGAAGGATGTGCTGACATATGCTACAAGAAGGATGAAGCCTAAATATTCTGTGCTCAGGGAAAGAAATCAGACACAGAGCAGTATGTTATGTGAATCTCTTTATATGCAATGCCCAGAAAAGGCAAATCTGTGGACACAAACAATAGATTAATTGTAATCTGGTTCTGATAGGAAGATAGAATAGGGAAGTGATGGATCAATGGATAATGTGAGAGTTTGGTATAACAGCAAGAAAATACTGAATCATATACTTCAAATATTTACAATAGTTAATATTATGTAATATGAACTTTATTCCAAATGAAGATACTTTCACTTCAAAAAGATATGCAATTCATATATAAAGTAAATGAAAGATATTTACATTTGAAATGTTAGTTCACAAAATATAGTTTATATGTTTCTTATACAGGTATACAAATCATATATATAGTAGATGAGAGAGCCATATATTCTCAGTGAGAGTTCACAAAATGTAGGCACAGTATACTTGATCTAAACTAAGAGTGAACTTTTCAGTAGAAAATTAGATTTTGAAAAGTAGCTATTTTATGCTAGTTCAAGTACTATTGAACCTTGGGAAAAGGTAGAACAAATCACAAGTTAAAATAAAGCGCTAGGAAATAATTACTCATACTCTCTTTCATAAATGAGAATATATGTATTTTCTACTTTTTAAAGTATGTTCACTGGACTATTTAGGTGATTTATTTGTATTTGTTAACAATTATTTGTACATGGTAGATCTGAGATTGCTTGATCAAAAATTATCTCTGAAAATACTATTTTAGCAAACTGCACATATTTTAATTCTAATAATATTTGTTAGTTTATAATATTATTTTAACATTAGCACAGTATTGTTTTTGTCATCACCCAAATGCAATAAAAGGCAATATGTGTGGTTTTGTTATTTAATGCAATATTATACAAAAATACCAACTAGAAGTTTTGACATGATTGACTGGTTTCTTTCTTTTTGTTTTAAAGTAAGTTCATTTCATTAATTTAGATGTTACATTATCAAAGAAAAAACAGTACCTATTTATTTATTTCCACATTAATTCACACAACAAGTGGTGGCAACATTCTTAAGCAATAGCTTTTGTTCTACTGTTCTTTTTTCCCCATTTTTTGTCATGATGTGACTCAGTAATTCACCATTATTTGCCATTTTCTGATTAAACAGCTTTTAGAAAATGTTGAAGAATGTTGTATATGTTGATCTATAAAATTTGGTTTTCCACTGGTGATATTTTATCTTTTTATTATTCATGTTTTGCATCTTTCTATGTGGGCTATATAAATATAATAAGCATATATAACACTTTGTGAGCATATATAAACATTTTGTATATTTCTTTTTGAGCATATATAAGCACTTTGTATATTTCTTTTTGTAGATTCAACAAAGAAGTTGAAAGATGTTCTGGAAGAATTCCATGGTAATGGGGTGCTTGCGAAGTACAATCCTGAAGGGGTAAATCTTTTTCCTATCAGTTTTGTCTGTATGCTCAGAGAGAATTTCTTCATGAAGCATTTTTAAAGATATGTATATGTGTATATGAACTCATACATGCATATAAATATACTGCAGTATATATACACACATGTATATGCATATTTACATATATGTATTTACATATATGCATATACATGTATGTATATGTCTCACCATAAACAATCCTATGCCATACATAAGCAAAATAGAATTCATAGTAAAAATAGTGCTGTTTTGGAAGATATGTCAAATGTAGTACATTTTTCACTCAAAATTTTCTCTCAAATAACCATGCCTCTATAGTCTGTGCCTGAAAAATGAATATTATTATAATATAGTGCCAAGTGTCCCGTTTGTCTGGAAGTCAGGAAATAAAATCACATAGAGGAAAAGGAAGATGCCTCTCACTCTATGGCATGCAGATTAAAACTCAAAATGGACCTTAGTGTGGAGCACAGGGATTACTCCTTTCAGACAATTATTCCTTTGAACAAAGAAAGATTTGTAATGAGTATAACTGGCTTGTCATCTTAAGGAGCTGCCATTTCTCACCCTATCTATTATTTGTAAACTTTTGAGTTCCTGAAATTATTTCCTTATAGAAACTTGCCTAACTTATGAGTTACTTTTGAATGCCATTACTTTTATGAATTATTTTACTTTCCCAATTATTTGTTAAGCTACCTTTGAGTTAATGTTAATTGAGAAACAGGATATTCTGAAAGTTTGAGCATCATTAGCTTTAGTTCATTTGAAGCTTCACCAGCAGGTATTTTGTGCTGTTTGGAAATAAACTGAACCTCTGTCTAAAAAAGACAATTTTGTTTAAATGTATCATCAAAATAGATTAGTTTACAGATTAAGTCAAAATTTCTTATTTATTCCCATTGTTCATTTTTTTCATATTTGCAAGTTTGTACTTCTCTAGATTATGTTGAAAATAATTTTAGTTATTCTAGGCCATTCTCTGAACTCTAATTCAAAGCATGCACAGTCTCATAAATTCATATCAGAATTTCTCATAATTAATTGTATTTTAGGTAATATTTTATTTAGATTTTTACTCAGTTAATATTAAGTGTTTTTTGTTTGTTTTGTGGGTTTTTTTGGTGAGTTTTTTTTGCAAGGCATTACTATACATCCCAGGCTGATCTGAAACTTGCAATCCTTTTGTTGTAGTCCTCTCATTGCTGGGATTAGAGATAGGACCAATTTCATGTCATGTTTTCTTACTTTACTTTATATTATCATAGTTTCAAAAACTAACCTCTGGTTTCTATTCTTTTTTTAATTGCATATGTTTACTGACTATTATGATAGGAAACCATGGTGATTTAAAAATCATTAATAGTTTACAATAACATGTAAATGGCATGCATTTCCCTAACATTTTATCTTCCTGAATGCTAGAGAGAAAAAAATGCTAGAGAGAAAAGAAGTAATCTTGGCAAATAAACTTGCAGGACTGGAATTTTCTAAGTACAAGGAAGCAGAGGAAGAAAATCAACTTCTTAAATTACTATAAACTCAACAAATGCCATTAATCCTATCACAGTATCAGTTTTTTAAAAAAATCATTATTAGTCCTGCTCATGCCTGTAATCCTAGCCACTCAAGAAGCTGAGATCTGAGGATCTTGCTTCAGGGCAGGAAAGTCTGTGAGAGAAGTGGACTTTAGGTCAAAATGGTAGTGCACTAGCTTTGAGTGAATGAGCTCAGGGACAGTATCCAGGCCTGTGTGCTCAAGTCCCATTACTGACAAATTAAAAATAAAGAACAAAGAAGAAAAACATAGAAAATCTACTTTTATATAATCTCCATATAGAGATTAAACATGTTTTCTCCCTGAAGAAATCCATCTGGAAACTGACTTTATCTCCATTGTGGTTGACACAATGATTTCTTTATGGCTTAATATCACTGTGTATTATCTGTGTCATGAGGATCATCAACAATCTTATGATGCATTTATATAGACTTTTATATAGACTTCCTAGTTCATTGTTAGACACAGAGCCTTTTAAAAATTATGCTGTCTTCCCATGTATGTAGATTATATTAAATATATTATTAAGACAATGTAGCTACTCAGGAGGCTGAGAACTGAGGATCACAGTTCAAAACCAGCCTGGGTAGGAAAGTCTGAGAGACACTCAGCTTCAGTTGACAACTAGAAAAGTAAAAATTGGAACCATAGCTCAAGTAGTAGAGAACTAGCCTTGAGCACAAAAGCTCTAGGACAGTGCCCAGCCTGTGAGTTCAAGCCCAGGACTGACAGTACCCAGCCTGTGAGTTCAAGCCCAGGACTGACACTCTTCCTTCCCCTGAAATGCAGAAAGCTAGATGTTATTGTCCCCCTAGTAGTCCAAAATTCAGATGGAAATAAAATACTGATCTTAATATTTTTTAAGAATCTTTACTCAGGGAAAAAATTTAAAGCTTATATAATTATTTTAAGAACAAGTATATGTGTTATAAAAGTCCATGCAAAACAACTAGAATATCTCTTTGAAGTGTGACTCAGTGGTTGCTTCCTTGCCTAGGAGGGGTAGAGCCCTGAGCTCAAACCCTAGTACTGCCTAAATCAATGAGTAAATAAACAAATCCTACAATATTGATCATGGAACCAAAAGTTCTGAGGTTTATTTTCATAAAACTTATTTGAAATATATGAAAGAATTCCAAGTGTTCAGTTTGTGCAGTTGAGTTAAAAGATGAGTTAAAAGTTGTTTGTTATGGATAGCTACTTATTGAGAATCTGTTATATTAAAAAGTAGAAAAGTGACTAATTCTATCTTACTTTAAAATAGATAATACCTTGTTTTCTAAAACAAATAGGATTTGTAACATCCATATAAAATGCATTTGCACAAAGTGAATAAGGTAAATATCCCTTAACTTTAATTTCCTCCTCTAAATTAAACTACTTCAGTGGGAGAAGCATCATTTTGCTTTTAATTCATTTGAGTTATTGAATTAAAAAATATAACTTCATTTAAAAAATATAATCTGTTTGGTCTTTCACATTTGTATCCCTTAAAGACATTTTAATAATTAATCCTTCAAAAAGTGAGTAGGAGAAATAAAATCAACAGTTCTCTCAGAATAAACATCATAGAAAGGACTGAGATTTCTAAAGCTATATGGCAAACTTTTCAAATAAACTTGTTTCTAAGATTACCCACATGAAATCCTAATGATAACTGATAACCACCATCATGTTGGTCAAAGTGCATTGTACACAGAAATAGTTAAGTTGAATTGAGACCTTTTTGTAAAATTACTTAAAGATAATTAAAAAGGGAATAATTAAAAAAACTACCCTTAATTTCCTAGAGTCCCCACTTAAGACTGATGGCCTTTATTCTTTACTGCATTGATGAGGCCAGAATGAGTACAACGTCCCTCATAAATAAGTAGAATAGGAGCAAGGAAAGATACTGAACAACACAAAAGCCAAATTTCCTATTAGCCTTAAGTAAAAGAATGTAAGTATTCCTATTCCTATTTCTATATGGTCCAGTTATAGAAAGAAGACATTCATAAAGCACAGGACAAATAAAGTTCTCAAAGAGAGTAGTGGAATTTGGTATAAGAGAGAGAAGAGTCTGGTGTTGCATGAACTGTTTCTCTCCATTCATCTTTTCTTTCTTTTCTTTTTTTCTTTGTCTTGGGTTTTCAATTGAGAACAAGTTGTTCCACTGAAACCTAAAGAATGGAGAGAACATAGATAAATAAAAAATAGATTTATAATCTTTAAAGGTATGGGGGCAACTTGATGTTTTATGCAAGTAGAAAGAAATATTAAGTGTTAGAAATATATTCATAACTTAATGTATCTTTATGCATAGTATTATAGTTTTGCTAGTCTATGTGGAAGGTTTCATCATATTGTATATAGTATAAATTATGTTTGTTGAGTCATTAGGAACTATTGGCTTAGTTCCTAGTCCAAGATTGATCTCAAGATTGGTTCTCAAGTTTTAGCTTACATCAGAATCACATGGTGTTTGGAAAAACAGATTGCTCCTTGACTCATGATCATTCATTTCCTTATTTGATGTTTTGGGGCAGTGTTTGAAGAGTCTGCATACTGTTTTGGAACCACATTTTGAGACCTGTGAGGGTAGAGTGTATTTTAAAGTTGATCTGTAAACTTGGACTTATACTGAAATAATCACAGATATAAGATGATGAGTATCAATTACCTTCCATTAACACATGTATTCTTTCTTCCTTTGCATGCACAGAAACCAGACATTCTTAACCAAGTAAGACATTTTCTTTTCTATTAAAATATATCTTTTTTCCTTTTCCTGATATAAACTATGAATTTATCTTCTATATCACTAAGCTATACCTATGTACCTATAAGCTTTAGATAGTATGTTAGCCTACAATATTCACAAAGTTATCATTGAGCTCAGGTATGTTAGAAATTGTTCTAATCAGTGTCTCAAATGAAGAAATCATTACTTTAATAGAATACAAAATCATCCCACATATGGGTTCTAATTTTATAGACACCCAGATATATTAGACTTTGAACTATTTATTTGATGAATTTTAATTAATTTGTTTACAATGGTAGATTTAATTATATTCAACCTAAAATGGTAGAGCTTTTTTGTTTTACTTTATCTACAGAAACCATTGCTGTCCTCCCAGAATAAAGGCAGCCAATTTGTTGCTTCAACGACTTTCTCCCAGAAATTCTATTTTGTAAACTACATTTAAGGAAGTAACCCAATCTATGTACATAATTACCATTGGTTCCTCTAAATACATATTCCTCTGTTATGAGAATATCAATATTGACTTTCAATACCACTTAGGAATATTTCTTTCTTACATATGTGAGTTGTCTAAAACCATAACATTGTTTCTTTTGAGTGGTACTGGATATAGTCAAGTTCTTTATATTTCTGGTAGCATCCTGCTGGATTCATAATTTCATGCTCAACATGTAAAGTGCAGTT